CAACAATATCGATCTTTGTATGGGGGTATGCCAAATCCCCACAATTATTCGAAAAAAAAGACCAAAAATCAAGAGGGCGAGTAGTAGTTGTGAAAACCATAGTGATAAAAGAGAGTGAAGTACTTGACCCAGTTCAAGTATTGTAGTAGGTATTTCTTCTTCCTTTTCTTCAACTTTTAACTTTTATTGTTTTAGAACGAATAATATATTTCTTCAAAAAACCTCAATAGTTACTCCTCGCTAAAGCCAAGTCTTATACAATATGTTGCTTGTATCTATACACTAGCACCAAACTAGTCAAGATAGACCTCGCGCTGTTTCTTCTATTGAGATTACTGTGTATTTTTTAAAAATATTGACTACGTTATTGTTTTTTAAATAATAAAAGTTTGCTCTATATATGGTTCAAGTGATCATCGGAAAGAGTTGATTAATTGAAAACCTTAGAAAACTATTCATGTGATAGTTCCATAATAAAAAACTAATAAAATCTAATCAGCCAAGGAAGTAACCTTAATAACAAAAAATAAAAAAATAAAGAATAAGATATAAGTTTCACTAATATGTATTATAAAGTTTTGTCTATATTATAAATTTGTTTAATTAAATTATGTAATATGATTAGCTAATTATCACAGAAAATCATGAGTAGATCTATAAAATTTAGCCAATCAGATGAATGTCTTTCTATGAGTCTATGAGAAATACTAGATCATGTGATTTTACACATACTAGATAAATATATGATAAAATATACAAAAAAGTAATTAAATTCTTTTAAACTTTGAACAAAGATATCTATATATTACTTAGCAAAATAGATATTTTTTTTTACTTTAATTTTACCAATCTGTATATTTTAAATAAAAAAAATTTTATCAATTTTGAATAGATGATTATCGAGATACCTTTGTCAAAAATTGAAAAAAAACTTCATCCTGACTTTGTTTTAATAGTTGTCTAAAATTTTCTAAACTTTGAACAAAGATATCTCAATAATGACTTATTCAAATTTATGATTTATTATTATTATTATTTAAATTATACATCCCTACATTTTAAATAAAAAATTTTCATCGATTTTAAATAAGTGGTTATCGAAATACCTTCATCAAAGTTTGAAAAAAACTTCGCCATGACTTCTGTTTTATAATCACCTAAAAATTTTCCAAACTTTGAACGAAGTTATCTCGATAACCACTTATGCAAAATCGATGAATTTTTTTTAATTTTAATTCTAACAATCCACACATATTAAATGAAAAAAAATTTCATCGATTTTAAATAGGTGGTTATTGAGATATCTTCGTTCAAAGTTTGAAAAAAACTTCGCAGTGACTTTGATTTTGATAGTCTAAAATTTTTCCAAACGTTGAACGAATATATCTCGATAACCACTTATACAAAATTGATGGTTTTTATTTTAATTCTACCAATCCATACATTTTAAATAAAAAAATTTTCATCGATTTTGAATAGGTGGCTATCGAGATATCTTCGTTCAAAATTTGAATAAACTTCTGTTTTGATAGACGTTTAAATTTTCCAAACTTTGAACGAAGATATCTCGATAACCACCTATTCAAATTGATGAATTTTTTTTTATTTAAAATGTATGAATTGGTAGAATTAAAATAAAAAAACCATTGATTTTGCTAAGTGGTTATTGATATATCTTCGTTCAAAGTTTAATGACAATCTTGTTTTTCTTACGATTCGTCACGTGATTATCTTGTACGTACAAACTCACGTGACCTGGTACGTGCCCGTAGAAACTTAATCTGATTTCTGATATCAAGATTAATCTTGCTTTTTATTCTCGAGATCTACTATTTTAATATTTAATTGCGCATTTTGGTATAAATTGGTAATACTTACCTATTTTTATGTGTATGGGGAAGGGTAATTCCCAAATTGATCCACCTTTGTCTTCAAACGACGGGCCAATGTCATCCGGAGAAGGCAAACTCACAGATAACTGTGATCCACCACCGTTGCCTGCCTCAGTTGGTGGTGACTTAGTTCTTGGACCCATTGGCGGTGATAGCAGCGCTGAAGAAAGAAACTTGACGTGAGTTTAATAACGAGTTTCAACCTTAAAAGTTTGTTTGATAGACTCAAAATTCTAGCGACACCATGAATATAACAGGTTGTTTTAACGCAAATTCTATATAAACATTTTGGATTTTGATCGAATTATGACTCAGAGAACATCATTTGGGCCATTTTCGTGATGACCCTTTTGGTTTTATGATGCAAATGGGTGCGTTTTATCAAGGAACGGTAAGTCATATTTATTTATCAAATAGAATTCAATTTTTAGCGCGTATTAGAGACCTGCTCGAAATCGAAACCATAGTAAAATTGCAGGCCAAACTATTTTAAAAACCTTAATTTCGGGCCGGCAAAAAAAAAAGATTTATCAGGCCCGTGCAATGTATAAAATTGAACGTGCGCATGTGCTGAGCGCACATGAAATTTTCTAATTTTAATAGGGGATCATAGGAGTGCACACATACTTTTCAAGCTGAATTTTTTACACTGCCGTGCAGGCATCTAGCGTGCATGATGTTTACGTATCTTTCTACAATCTATTATTTGATATTTAGGGGTGGAGAAGTTATAGAAATTATATTGGAACTCGAATATATTACGAGGGGTACACAGACGAAATGAGAGAACGTGTATTAAATAGCGAACGTGGTAAATATCTTCATATATAAATTTTGTCCATTTAATATTCTTGTTAAAATTTAAAAGTTTAAAATCTAATTGGTTTTATTTCATAGTTCTTTACATGATCGCTTATTTAGCTGAAAAGCAGGTCACCCTTCTTTCTCAAACATTACCAAATGCTACCCCAAAAATGATCGCTAAACGAAAAAAAATACTAGAAAAAGAATTACAGGTTGTAGCTAATGGAATGGTGGATAAATTAATTGCCGACCTTAATAGTATACGATTTCTTAGGTTTGTAGGTTTGTTCTGTAACCTCGTCATAAAATTAAATGTTTAATATATTATATCATTTTTGATTCTTAGGTTTTTCGTCTTTTTTGTCAATAATATACTGGTGAGAATGTATCATCAAGGAATACATATATCTGAACGCGAATTTCAAGAGGTAGTTAGTTTTATATATATATAAAATTTACTCATATTCTATATTATACAATATTTTTCTGATAGTTATTCATAACTTCAATAATTCAACAGCTTCGACGTATAGCTATTCATGCGGCTCAAAATTCTCAATCACTTATTGTTCTTCCATGTCATAAATCTCACGTAGATTATTTCGTTATTTCTTACATATTTTTCCGTTTGGGTTTGGCCCTTCCACACATTACCGCGGGAGATAATCTCGACCTGCCTATTGTTGGTAAAGTCCTTAAACGTGGAGGTGCATTCTTTATTCGACGAACATGGGGAGAAGATCAACTTTATGGTAGTGTTGTAAAGGAATACGTAGAATGCTTATTGGAGAGCGGCCATAATGTAGAATGCTTCATTGAAGGAACAAGAAGTCGCACAGGGAAGCTTTTGCCTCCTAAACTCGGTATCTTAAAAATCATTTTGGATTGTATACTGTCGGGCAGAGCCAAAGATTGTTGGATCGTACCAGTATCTTTACAATATGATAAAGTAATCGAAACCGAGACTTATGTTAATGAATTGCTGGGTACTCCCAAAGAGAGAGAAACTTTGTGGGGAGTTGTAACAAATACTAGATTATTGCAATTGAAATGGGGACGCATTGATGGTTTGAAAATAACTTTTATATTAAATAAGCTATGCTAGCTAATATTATGTCAGAATGTTGTATGAATTTGTCTATTTCATAATTTATATAATAGTGCGATTTGCCAAGCCATATTCACTGCTATCATTCATCGAAGATCAAAAAAAAAAGCGACAGTAAATATTTTCTTTATTTTATATAAGTTACGCGCTTTATAAAGTTTTAATAATCTTATATTCGATATATTTTTTCAAGATATTTTGATCCAATAAACGAAATACAAAAGATTACTTTGTTGCGAGCGCTTGGTTACCAGTACGCAATTTTATTTCATTTGGTTTAACTTCAAATTTCTTCTACTTAATTTTATTAATCTTATTTTCTCGTTAGGGTTTTATCCGAAATTGTATATATATTTTTTCATCTTTTTATTATTATTATTTTTTTTTAATCGAGTTTTTATCTCGTCTACCAATCTGTAATCGCTGCTGGATTTATTCGCTTGTATCTTACTCTTCATGTTTATAAATGTTTATCATCAATAGAATTCAGTTTCAGTTGTAATGCCTACTGCTCTTGGTAATTAGTTTTTATTGTGATTGTATTGAACATTTGTGATTATTTATTTATAATGAATGTTTTTTTATGTACCTTTCACTTGAAGTTGGAACTGTAATATTAACACTCCGTGGCAGAGTGAGTCTAATTGCTTCGATATCATTCATATCTAGTTCATATGTGAAAATAATGGATTTTCATTTACTTAAAACAACAATTGCAGGGTGTTGGAAGGAATGAACTAATAAGACGAGTAGAGTGGTTAAGGGCCGCAATTTTGGCCAAAGGAGGACGTGTTAAAGAATTTGGTGGTATGAGTACAGCAGAAATCGTTGATCGGTAAATTATCTGTTTGCAATCTTAAAATCCTTAAATTTATTTATAAAAATGTTGACTACATTTTTCTTTAATTATAGTGCAATTACGGTATTGAAAGATTTGATCAAGGAGAGGAAAGACTTATTGGAACCTGTATTTTATGCAGAAAAAAGATTCGAATTAAGTTTTTATCGTAACCAGGTAAGTCTCAATATAATTATATATTTATGCGAACCAATATTTTAGTTAAATAGTTTACTCGTTTAAATTATAGGTTATGCACTTGTTTGTTTCAGAAGGTATTTTTATTTTGTGTTTTTATTTTTATATTTTATTTAATTTTTCTTCCTAGCCAATTTCATTAACATAAATCATGTGTTTTACCAGCCATAATATCGGTAGCCATGTATACTAAGATAAAGCAAGGTGGTGCCAGGCCAACACAACGTTTAGATCGAAATACCCTTTTAAAAGAGGTGGAATTTCTTTCTCAGTTACTCAAGGGAGAATTTATATATAATCCTGGTCAAATTAAGACTAATGTTGATAATACCTTAGTAGGATTGAAGGTAAATATTTAGTATAATTCTCGAGTCAATGAAACAAAAAATACAACAAATGTTAATTTAAAATTTAAATAGAATGATCATGTACTTGATTATGATGATAAATACGTGGAGTTATCTGATGCCGAAAGAGCTTTTGGAAGGGAAAATTATGGTAATAACATTATCATTATTCATTTATTCATTCATTTGATTCATTTGGTATGAGGTTACCATCTTTAAACGTACGTTCAACTTATAAACGTAGATTTTTACTGCTTTTTGATATGGCCTTTTGTTGAAACATATTGGCTTGCTGGTAAGTGGGAAATTTTCTCAGTGTTCTAAATGCATTATTACTGTATCTAATTCCAATCCCAAATAGCCATAAGTCTATTTTCTATGACCCCTACCAATATTCACCCTCAACCGGCGACTACGATTGTAAATAAAACCGCCAATAGCAAACCTGTTCCTATCACATGGTTTAATGAGAACGATTTTTTAAACAAATGTCAACTCTTTGGCAAAACACTATATTATCAAGGAGATCTCTCCTACTTTGAGGCTGTGAACAAGGAAACATTGAAGAATGCGTTTATTCTTTTGGAAGATGCTGGCGTCATCAAGGTGAATCGGAGCCGCAATGCTAAAATACAACCCACTATTGCTTTAACACCTGAATATGTACCAACAAGGAATTCTGATGGTGTCATTGAAGCTAAAGGAGAATTATGGAATTTAGTTGAAAAGATTGGAAAATTTCGAAGGGAAGGAAAAAACCGTAGAGATAATGCTACAGTTAGTTCAAGGGTATTGAGACTAGCTGAGATGGTAGGTACTCCAACTACGGCTGATGTAGTTGTGGTGACAAATTTGATGAGTAGACCCGCAAAGGCCGGAAAACCCGAGGCAAAACTTTAGTTTCCCTGAAAGTTCGTAAAATTAAAGTGATAAATACCACACCTTCGGTATAAACTTTGATTGTTATTACACAAAAGACTATAATTCCGAAATTGTTTAACACTTTAGTCACGTTTATTTAATATATGATATATTAGTAAATATTTATTTTTGTTTTTGTGCAAAAAAAAAAAAAGTCATTATAACACTTTTACAAAAATGTAAAATAAAATAGAAATATTATATTTATGATACTGTGTTAGGGTGCGCTATATCATAATTGATCAAAACTATATAAGGTCAATCGATAAATTGATGGTAATAAATTTTCTGAAACTTGTAGATTAGTCGGAGTGTCAATTCATAGCAAAGATATATAAATTTCGCGTAAAATAATATATTTGATTTTTTTTGCTCAAATTTTTTATTAATATAAAAAGTTCTTCTGTAATTTTGTTCTTATCTCTACGATTATGATATGTAAAAAATTTGAGTGAAAAATAACGGGTTAGTGAACCTAAACATCTAATTTCGCGAAATCCTTAACCAATTCATTTTATTATTAGCGGATTTACAAATTTGTTAACATAGTTTTGATTAATTATGATATGGTGCACTCTAATACTGTGTTATAATCGCATCTAGTCATGTGATATATGTAGTAAATAGTATAGTGCAGGACAGCTTAAAATATCCACCTCTTATTTTTATTATTAAAAAAGGCGTTAAATTTAGACAAGGTCACTATAAAACATCAACTTTCTGCTAAGATGCACAAAAATAATTAGTTTTTATTGGCTTAAATATGTAGATCAGCACCAAATTTTTGATTTACTTTATATTCATAAATTTGAATTTTAATTAAATATATTTTAATTATTGCGAAAATATTTACATAAACAATAATATTTAATTATATTACAATTATATTTTTTCTAAAATATTTTATTTCTAATTATAAAATTTAATAAAATTCAAATTTTAAAATTTTTTTCTCATAAATTTCAAAATATTTAAATATTTGCTATTATCATAATTTAATTAAAATATTTTATTGTAAAATTATTCTCAAATATTCTTATATCATTACATTCAAAATATTTTGATTTAAATTAAATATTATAAATAATTCAAAAATTTATTTTATTATTTAATAGCTTTAAATTTTAATTATTTTTTTTCAAAAATATTCAAAAGTTTAAACTTTGATAAGTTATTTAACTAAATTAGAAGATATATTATTTACTAAATAATCATTAGTTTTATCAAAATGTGGAATTATATGAACTTGAATTTTAATTGATTCAATATCAATTCTATTAAATAATTCAGTTATTTGAAGTCTAGGACATCTATAATAATATGGATTCTTTTTAGATTTAAAATCATACTACTAAATTAATGCAAGATTTAAAATCTTTTTGTTAGATTCAACTTTCAGTAATAAATATATCTAAAATTGAATATTAAAAATTTAAGTTAGGGTCTGGCGATCTTAGTGTAGTGGTTAGGTTGCCAGACCGCCATGCAAGAGGTCTGGGGTTCAAATCCCACTGTCG